GTGACTTGGCCAGAAAGAGCTTAATTGCAGCAGGGACATAGTATCTTCCATTTGTGTGGAAGAATTTGAGAATGGTGTTCACTGATCTTTGGCCATAGGCAACTGCATATTCACCCTGTGCTTTTTTTGAGCCAATGGCATGGATGATCACCCCTAGGTACTTAAAGGTGGTTACTTGCTCTATATTATGACCATTAACATACCACGAGCAGAGTTTGAGCCTTTTTGCAAAGGCCATAATCTTGGTCTTCTGGTAATTTGTGTCCAGTTTATTAAAATTACAATACTGGATGAGGGCTCGCAAGACTCTTTTAAGGCCTACAGGTGTCCTGGAGAGGATCACAGCATCATCTGCATAGAGCAGCGGGATGATGCTTCGGTCACCTATTTTTTGGGGTGGTAACTTGGTTTATTTAACCATTTTACCATGTCATTTATATAAAAGTTGAAAAGCAAGGGGGCCAAAATGCACCCCTGTTTAACCCTCTTTTGAGTTTTGACCAACCTCAAGAGGGACCCTTGCTTATTACATCTAACCTTGAGGGATGTTTTAGTACGTAAGGCACATAACAAATGGAGAAGCCTATGATCAATTGAAGCAGCTTCCAGCTTCTCCCATAGCTTAGTCCTGGTAACAGTATCAAAAGCTTCCTTGAGATCTATAAACAGTGGAAAACTGCCATGCAAGGGATGAACAAAAACCATGCATGGTGTTTATGTAGGAACTGGACAAAACAGATCAGGCTGGTAAGTCAATTTGGCCAAACAAGGGTACTTACGACTATAATATATTAAAAATCCTTAGGGCAAAACTCAAACCATCTCACCTAATGTACTGGTATTACAGGGCAGAACTTTTCGACCCAGTGACCACAGTCTCAAAACAGACCCCAACAACCCCACCATACCATGTTCAGACTGTACAGGCTGTGGTCGGGACCAGTCCAATGCTGCTCCCGCTCACTTAGAGCCAGGTGACCAGGTGAGAAAACCACAAAGATCATGACACCCCTCCTCAAAAAACCTTTACCTGGCCGGGTGAGGGACAGTTAGTGTATGTCCTTACTCACATTCCCTTCTTACTGTCTAGTTTAGTAATATGGAAGGACACCTCCCTCCTTTCAGTCAAACCCTCAGATGGTTATTAGAACCTTCCAGTCCATAACAGAGAGCCACAATCCTACTTGGGGAAATATGATGCAACTTTTAAATATCTTCCTCACTAAGGATGAGCTTTTCAAACCATTTGAAAAAAAATAAATACCAAAACCACAAGAAGACCAATAATTCCCATACCTGAGCAAGTAAACCCTTGCTGTTTGCCTGGTGAGCAAACTGCCCCATGTGGGACTATAATGTGGCACCACATTGGGATGAATATACAAGAGCTAGGTAGAATCTATTAGAAGCCCTCCAGGAAATGGGACCACTTAAGTGGCCAAGCATTCCAACATACAATAGAGAAAGAGGACAAAACCCCTGATATCTACTGGGTCTGCCACCTTGAAACCAGTGTCACCTATGCACACCTGGATGCAAACAGTCAAAAAGATCAGAGGATCCTAGCTTCAGCATTCGTAGGCCAAGTGGCAGGTGATATCCAGAATCACTTCCAAACCATAGTCTGTAACTGGTCATCACTGAAGATTCTGGAGCTGCCTCAAATTGCCAACTTTATATTTGACCAGAGGAAGAAATTGAAAGAGGAGGACTTCTAATAAAGGTGGAATTAAAAAAAATCTAAAAAAAGTCTAGCTATTGGTTCCCATAAATACATCCATTAACATCAGTTGACTTATAAATTAGAAATTCTGTATCATCCAATAACTATCCTAGAAAATGAGTGATCTTAGCTAGTCAAAGTATTTTTAGCATGGTCTCAGTGCAGTATTGGGTGAGGCCAGATATGAGTGCATATTCTGCACTGTGTTCCTCTTTTTGTTTTGGCAAAAACGCTGAATTAGAAAAGATTGGAGGTAATGGCCTATGTAACTAATCAAAATTTGTCCAGTATGTGTTTACTTTGCTGAGTTCTTTTGCTTTCCTTAGAGCTAGGATAAATTGCAGGAAATCATTACTGCTTTCATCTTGTTTTTTAAGTTTGGATCATTTTTTTCATATTATTAAGAATCAGGCTTGCTTTTTAAATGAAGTTTAAGATTGTCAAGATGCTAGATTAGAATTTGCATACTGGTGTCAAAATGCTTATTCCTGAGTATTCTCATCTATTTTAGAACTATTCTGGAATAAAAAAGAATAGGAGTCCTGATTGAAAAAACAGGAAGTTTGGTAGACTTCCATTGCTCCTTAACTGGAGTGACTATGGAGGGAAGGAGTGGGGGAGAGAATTCACTACAAAACTGTTAGCTGCGTAATATACTGTATTTTTCAGAGTATAAGACACAACGGAGTATAAGACACACCAAGGTTTTAAAGAGGCAGATTTTTTAAAAAGTAGGCAGGTAGGTAGAGGGATAGAGAGGGAGAGAAAGAGAGAAAAATACAGTAGGTAGGTAGGGAGAGAGAGAGGGAGAGAGAGTGTAGTTAGGTAGGTAGGTAGATAAAGGGAGAGAGAGAGAGCGAAAGAGAGAGAGAGAGAAATACAGTAGGGAGGGAGGGAGGGAGAGAGAGAGTGTGTGCAGGTAGGTAGGTAGGTAGGTAGAGGGATAGAGAGAAATAGAGAGAGAGGGAGAGAAATACAGTAGATAGGGAGAGAGTAGGTAGGTAGGTAGGTAGGTAGGTAGGTAGGTAGGTAGGTAGGTAGAGGAGTATAAGACGCACCAAGGTTTTGAAGAGGCAATATTTTTTAAATGTGGGTAGGTAGATAGAGTGATAGAGAGGGAGAGAAAGAGAGAGAAATACAGTAGGTAGGTAGGGAGAGAGAGAGAGTAGTTAGGTAGGTGTTGTGACTCAGCAGCAGTCTTCTGTGAGTCTTTTCGGGATGCAAGATTAATGATGCAGCTGGGGCTTGTTAGTGGGGTTTTGGAGATAAAAGGACGGATGGTGCCACGCCCTAGTTGCAGGAATCAACGTTCCTTGGTTCGTTCAACATTGATGGATCATCAATCGTGGTTTATGTAAGATACACTTGGAAAAGTGCTTTGTTTTCTNCTGGATGGCTGCTCGTGAGTGTGGTCACCTCATGGCTGCTGTGTTGCTATTGTAACAGCGCAACACAGCCATTCGACCCTGAGGCTGTGCCCGGCTCTTCGGGAGCCCACTCGCAAGAGAGCAACCGCCTAGCAACCAAAAACAATAAGCCCTCCCCTGATAATAAGGCCCAAGCTATATTTTGTGGGTCAAAATAAAATAAGACCCTGTCTTATTTTCAGGGAAACGCTGTAAATGGGGAGTGAGTAAGTGAGGATACAGAATATCAAAGTTGGAAGTGACCTTGGAGATCTTCTAGTCCAATTCTCTGATAAAGCAGGAGACTGTATGCAATTCTGGACAAATGTCTGTCCAATCTCTTCTTAAAAACATCCAGCAGTGGAGAACCTACAACTTCTGGAGGCAAGCCATTCTATTGGTTAATTGTCCTCACTGTCAGGAAACTTCTCCTTAGTTCTGGGTTGGTTCTCTCCTTGCTAAGTTTCCATCTGTTACTTCTTGTCCTCCTCACAGATGTTTATCCTAAACCCATCTTTAGGGAACTTCTCTGTAGCCCAGCTTATAAGAATAATCTTGATTTCAATGAGATTTTTGTTCACATTTTTTAAAATTAAATTCTTAAATTGAAAGCCAACATTTTTCAGTGCTTATATATAAACAAAGGAGAAGACTACATTCTCCACAGAATGTGTGTCAAAACTGATGCATTGTTTCCAAATAAAAGCAAAGGTGCTAACGACAAAACTGATAATCACATATGCTGAAACAGACACAGAAATCTGCCAAATACGACATCTTCACAAACAAATTATTGCTTTAAAGTGGCTCTTAAATTACTACATTGAGGTAGTAATTTATCTTCTTTTTCTTATGTAACATTGCAACCACTTAGATTGACCACTTTGACCAGATTGTAAAAGGTTTTATAGATTCAGGTCATACAGTTCCTTGACACAGTTTACAAAAGCAACACAGCGATTGGGAAAAGGTATCAATGATCACAAGTATGAATAAATGTTGAAATTCTTCTGAAATGTAGTAGCATTGGTTAAAATGTAGGGTACTGTGTTTTAAGATATTGATAGTGGATGAGCCATGTCTTTTACCATAATACCAAATTTATGTTTTAGATTTTGCTTAATACTTCTTACACATAGTGATACTGAATGGATTTTTGAAGTTCTTGCTAATATTGAAGCAGGATGGAGGATGGAAATAGGTTAACAATAAATATGCACATTTCTATTCTTGCATTTACGACCTTTGCAAGTCTCTAAAGCAAAGGAAAGTTGAAGTAAAATTATAAGCCCAGTTGCAATTTCACTTGGTGACTACTTTGCTTAACAGCCAGTTCCAATTGTGATTGCTAAACGAGGATTTTGTTTATGGGCATAACTTGTAGCCTTTCATTAAATTCTAGATGCTATTCCTCTATCATTGTAAATGGACAAGAAGTTTCATCATATATAATATCTTCCAGTGTTTAATTAGAATCCTGAATTGGGCAATTCATAAACCTTTTAATATGCAAGTAACCCCAATTATTTTTCAGAAGAATCTGGCATACATGTTTATTAGCTCCTGTTGTGAAGCAGTTAAAGCAGTTGAGAAATGGATTTTATTCTCCAACATCCTCATCTCATACAAATTTTAGAATTAGACGAAGTAGTGAGCTAAGTATCTGACATTGGGACATATACTCCAGAATGAAGTACTGAAGCGTTCCATTGCCATATTTCAAAATAATATTTGTGAAGCAGATTTTTGAAAAATAATATATTTCCTTTACTTCATTATATGCTCCCATAAAGAATGTCTCTGCATAAACTGCTAAATAATTCTATTTAAAATGATATTTCTTTCTCTCCTTTTTTAATATATATATATAGCTGCCAAATTTTAAAGTATTGACTCATTCCCCAATGTCTGATGACTCCATCACCTTTGAATGCAAGCCACGGTCCCCTTTTGATGGAAGTCCAGATCAGGAAGATTTGAGTGACTTGCTGACAATCTCTGACTTGGCCAGTGTGAGCCTGGCCCATAAGGACCATCAAAATGTGCTGTCCGTGGAGGTACCCAGTGAGATTGTGCAGAATATGATAACCTGCCATAATGGGATGCAGGACGATGGGGTTGGGGGTACTGGGGTAAAAAAGAAACGAAAGAAAAAAGAGCTGGGGCAGCAAGAGCTGGGCAATGAGAGAGAAGTAAAACCAAAGAGGAAAAGAGAACCTAAGGAACCAAAAGATCCCCAAAAGCCCAAGGAGCCCAAAAAGCCCAAGGAGCCCAAGCAGGAAGGGGCCAAGAAACCCAGGAAGCCTCGGGAGCCTAAAGCCCCAAAGGAGTCCAAAGAGAAGAAGAACATCTTAGAGACTTCCTCCAAAGCCAAGCCCAAGAAATCCAGGTTGGTTGCTCTGCATGCTTTTATGTGTCAAATTGCTCATTTAGCTGCTTATCTGGCAGTAGTTTTCTTATAGTGGTCTTTGAACGTGATGAGTCTTTACCGTTGCAACTGAGTTTATCCTAGAAGAGCATTAGTGCAACTTGAATTAAGCTTGTAGAGGAAATTATGTTGGGGCATTTTTCTTTTCTTTTGGGAGAGTTTCCAGAATTCCAGTGCCTGGGGAAATTCTTCCAGAGGATAATTGAATAGAGAAACTCTTCCATGATACATACATATATAGATATAAACAAGGAACCTTTTGAAATACAGTAGATATGAGTTATAATGCAATGTTATAAGGTTATGTCATGCATTTTCATATTATATTGCTATACTGCTAGAATATATATATTTGCAGTGCATGTTGCAGGATCTGAATATTAGCATATGAGTACTGTTCACAAAATTCATAGATACTACTACAATTACGTTAATTGTTGAGAATCTGGAATCATATAACTCCACTTTTGATGTAGCTATTAAAGCCTCTTTTATGTTTTTCTCCCTGTGAGAGTGATTAAATGGAATTTTAATAGAATTATGGTACTTGTTTTCAACTTCATTTCTTCTAAGTTGCTCATTTAGTTAGTCACAATGCAATGGAAATTGTTTGTGATGATGGCTTGTTCATTGTTAGTTGGGAAAAAAATCTGATTGGCTCTGCTTGTGGATGTCCATGGAGGGCAAGACGTACAATCATGTGTGTGGTGATGTTAGCATGCAAATGCCATGATTTAATTGCACGAGATCGCAACACTGAAGTACATAAAAATACACATGCACGATGATATCATTGAATGGGTGGAATCATTTTAGCATCATCATGGATATCGTGGTTGTGCCTTAAATTGTAAGATTGTCCATGTATAGCATCTTCTACTAGAGAAGAAGTCCTAAGATGTGTACATATGAAAGTGATTTAATTCTATTTTGGTTGACTTGGCAATAATACCTTGTGTTGAATGCTATATACAAGGGTTTGAACCAGTGGTGGGTTTCAAAATTTTTTAGAACCTCTTCTGTAGGTGTGGCCTGCTTGTGGGAGTAACGTGCAGGCCATGTGACCAGGTGGGAGTGGCTTGCCAGCCATGTGACAGAGTGGGAGTGGTTTGGCAGTCATGTGACTGGGTGGGCGTGGCCAACTTGTAAAATGTGGTTAAACTCACTTAACAGTGCTCTTGCTTAGCAACCAAAGTGCCTCTGGCATTTGAAGCACACAAGTCTTAAAGCTGTCAAGTTACAAGACCCTCGTACCCCTAACCCTTTAGGAAAAAAACCCCCAGGGG